TGCTGTTGGTGCTCGGGTGGCCTGCTACCATGATGAAATTAAAGTTTCTCTCCCTGCTGTTTGGACACCATTGCATCACCTTCTATTCACTTTCTTCCATGTTGATCTTCAAATGAAACTAGAAGCTCCAAAACCAATGAGTTCAACGATATCTTTTTTCTTTTCCTTCCATTTGAAATAATACAAAATCATCTGAACCTCATCTTAGTGGTTGTATACTCGTTGGTTAGTGGTTTGGCCTGTTTCGCACTCCTCTCATCTTTTATTGCAATCCTAAGTAGTTCTGTTCTTTTACTTGGCAGGTAGTAATTGGATATGCAGCACTTCCATTATCCACCCATGCACAGTATGCAACTGCCTTTATGTTTGTCATCTCTTGTTTTGTTTCTTTCCTTGATGATTTATTAACTTACATTATTTGTTCTGCTACTGGAGTGATTGGTCTGGTAGTTCATGGTATTGGAAATAAACAGGGGGCAGAAATATAATCACCTATTCGGCATTCTAGTGGTTTGCTAAGTTAATGTTATAATTTCAATTGTCAGGTTACTTTCCTGGTTTATGTTGTGGGTACTTGGATGATATCAATGTGAGTCTTCATTCACCTTACAGTGAAATGCTACCTAGTTTATTCAGATAAGTTTGACAAAATCTTATTAAAAACAACAGAGGTGGTATTTAACATCAAGAACTCTCATTACCTAAGCGTAGTGTATGAAGTTATTGAATCATAAAAATCATATATGATTGTTTTTTTTTTTTTTTTTTTTTTTTTTTTGAACAATTTGTCAAGGAGCGGGCTTGAAACCCGCCCAAGGGGGAGGGAGAATGCACCTCAAGCTGGTAGGAGGCCAGTTGGCCCGAAGGGGCAGGTGCATTCATATATGATTGTTTATAGTTTATACCTCAAGAAATTTAATATTTTGCTACAGGTCACACTTGAGTAGGGTATAGAGAAGGGTTGAATTGGGAACAATTTTATTTATCCTTTAATCTCTTTTTCTAAAGCAGTTGCAATTAAGATTTGGTAATGAGACTAATAATTATCTGTACCAGATAATTGCTTTTATTGCCCATCCCCTAAAATTTAATAAAATAAAAATAAAACACCAGCAGCTTTTTGTCATAAAGAAACTGCGAAACCAGATATTATAGCATTTTTCTAGTCTGTATTAGGTCCTAGCCTTCTTTGATGCCAACTAAATGCCATAATAGTATATTTTCTAGTAATTTAGACATGACTTTTTCTCATGCTTTTGTTAGCTGGATCATTAATTTGACATGTGTTAACCTCTGGTCACAAGAAAAAATTAATTTGTTTGAACCTTTGTTGTAAATTATGAAATGATATTCACACCGTATTATGTTAACTAATTCTTTTTCATTGTGTTTAAGATTCCAATTTTTCAATGGTTTGTTATAAATAAAACTAGCCTAGCTTCATTATCACATAGATGGTTACATTTTACTGTATCAGATGATTATTTATTAATCCATATCTTTTAATTGTAGGAGAGGCTGGATTATTTGGAAGATGGAAAAACTATTTTTAAATTGCGATTAAGGCTTTGCTCATCTTTTTACCCAATTAACGAGCGCATACGGGATTTTTTTCTTGAATATGATGGACACACTCTCCGAACAAGCCCTCCCTGGGGTTCTGAACTGTTGGAGGTATATTGGCTATGCTTCTTTCTTCAGTCTTTACAGTTGTCTTGGTTAAATCCATTATTAGTATTCATGATCTCTTTAGTTTTGGTGTTTTGTAATTTTCAAGTCAACTGAAATTATTCCATGGTTGTGCTTGAATTGATTTAAACATTCCCCAAATCCAGTTTTCTTAATTGGTTATACAGCATGTCAATTTTATAAATGCAAAACACTATGTAATGAATTGGAGTGTTTTCCATATGGTTAGTATTTTTGAAACCGTAATATACCTCAGTGACTAGATCTCTAGGTAGATTACACAATAAAAGTAGTATTAGGGTCCGACTTTAGTTAGGTTTTTGGAGTTCCACCATAAAAAGACACACCTACCGACTCTGATGTTGGGTTTGAACTTGGAATTGGGCCTCTAATATATTTTAGGTAGCCATTGATTGCAAGCATTGAGCCGCTAACTAATCATTCATCAATCTTGACTGGTCCAAGTCCATCAAATCGTCATGCACTGCATGTATAATAAAATTGACAAAACTTGGATTTTTTATGGGCTGTGATTTTTACTTTTAATATGTATATATATATATATATAAATTTAAAAATAATATATATTTATTTAGGTTTAGAGTTTAGGTCACAAGTTAAAAATATTATTTTATCATAAATATATAAAAAATATAAAAATTGAATATTAATCTTAGTATTAATTTTAAGTTGATGAATTTAATTAAACAATTAATAAAGGTCAATTTTTATTTTTTCATATAAATCAAATAATTTA